TATCAAAGTTACAAATGGACTTCATGATTCTGGGCATGGGACAAGATGGGCACACAGCATCTCTTTTCCCAAAATCAGTATTACTTAAAGATAATAATAAACTGGTTGCCATGACCACAACTGAAGCTAGTCCAAAAAGAATGACTCTGATGTATTCCATCATAAAGAAGGCCAAAAATATTGCAATTATAGTTAATGGAAATCATAAACATGATATAGTTGACATACTCAGTAGAAGTGAAGGGAAATCAATGCATGATTACCCTATTTTAGGTGTGAGTTCTCAGTTAGGAAATGTAACATTTTATATTGATAATGATGCATGGTTTGGAAAATAAAGATTCCACTTGTGTGTTTTGTTCATTTGAGTTGCTTGCTACCAAATCAATGAAGTATTTTCATTTTTTTTTATATTACTGAAGTAAATATACTGGTACTCCATTCTTTACTCTTCTCTGTAGATTATGGAAGACCTTGTGCTATACTTAACTGATTTTGCAATCATTTTTACTGTCAGTCTTCAAGTGAAAGATCTTGATGCAGATCCATTGTCAAATGCAGATACAATATAGAAAAGATGTCTGGACCAAGCTTGCAGGAACGATGCACAGTTTAACAGTTTTGCATTGCTTGGGATGCTACATGTATCCAATCCATTTTTCCTTGATAACTGGTCAAGTAAGAGTATTTTAATAGAAGAGATCTGTCCCAAAGAACAGCACAACTGCAAGCCTAGATCAAACTTGAATGGGTTTTGTGTCTAACCCTAAATTCTTATTTCAGTCTATTTAAAATTACATTTTATAAAAGAGAGAGTAATGCATTTGAAAATGAACAGAATAATTAATGCATTTTATTGATACTGGGATATTTATTTTGTGTTTGTGACAGCCCTTTCTCTAGGAGCCAACGTTTTTTTTTTTTGTCTTGACTTTAGAAACTGGCTTTCTTTTGAAAAACTTTGACATTGATCACAACTTTAAAATGTTAGGGTTTTCACATATCAATAGAAGAATGAGTATTTCTTCTGATTGGACTTCCTTTCGGAAACGAAATTATTGCCTCACGACCTTAACCTTTGAGTTTGATATACAGTTGTAAAAACATTACCCTTGACCAAACCTTGGAAGGGTTGATTCCTTGGCCCTCAAGAAGAGATTTAATTTAAATCTTATGCTGTTTACGAATATAAAAGAAAACAAGAGGCCCATGGGCCACAACTCTCACCTGAGTAGCTTTGGTCCTGCTGTTCTTTCCCACCCTGACTTCCCCCATTCAATACTCATTATGGCCCCACACTACCCAAGGGGGTCATGGTTGAACAATTTAAAATCTACGCTCTCTCAGGAAGTTTCCATTTAAGTTTCATTTTGTCTGGCCCAGAGATTTTTGAGAAGATTTTAAAATATTTTTTCCTGTATATGAATTTTAACAAAAGTTAAAGTTTATTACAAAGCATCCTTGAGTAAACAGAAATTTGAATACGAGTACTTAAAATCATGACCCCTCGGTTTAAGGTAGAGTCACAGTAGGGAATTCGAGTTTTACACTGAGATATGCAAGCTAGTATACGAAAAATCTTTTATTTTTTTTAGAGAACCACTTGGCCAGAAAAACTGAAAGTTACATTAAATCATCCTGGGATAGTGTGGATACTAAATTGCTCAAGTAAAATCCCCAAAGGGGTAAAGTGGGGCCAAAGTAGGGAGTCAGAGTTTTACATTGAAATATATGTTACGAAGAATTTTAGAAAATCGTCTCAAGAACCACTGTGCCAGAAGCTGACTGTTACCTGGCTTGGGAAAAGTGTGGATTCTAAATGTACAAATTAAAATCCCATTGGGTGGGGCCACAATAGGGAATTAAAGTTTTGCATTGAGATACATGGAAGACCTTGAAAAATCTTAAATAAAGAACAACTAGGCCAGAAAAGCTGACAAGTCTGTGGAAGCATCAAGGCATAGTGTAAATTCAATATCGTTTAAATCACGATCGTCGAGGGTAGGGTGGGGTACAATAAAAGTGAATAAAAATTTTACATATAGCTCTGGGAAAAACGTCTCAAGAACCACTGGGCCAGAAAAATTGAAACTGATGTGGAAACTTACTGGGATAATGTGGATTCTAAATAATTGTTCAAATCATGATCCCTGGTAGGTTGATGGGGTCAAAATATTGACAACCTCCGGAGCAAGATTGATTGATTGAATGCTGTTTTACGTTAAATCGAGAATTTTTCACTCATGTAGAGACGTCACAATATACCGGTGAAGGGCTTCAAATTTTTACCTGTACACGGCACGTACTCAGGGCCATTGAGCAATGTAGGATCTTAGTCGTAGCACGCCTGCCGTGACATGGGACGTCGGATTTTAAGGTCTCATCCGAAGGACCCGCATATTTCTCTTCAAATGCGGAGCGTATGGCAAAGAAATAGTTGCTACTCATTTTTTATCGAGGTCAGTCGCGGTCGAGATTCGAACTCATGACCTCCCGGAACAAGATAATGATCTTAGATCTTGCTCAGATTTATTTTACTTTAATTGTTGTTTAAGAATTTCTTCTTCGTTGATTTAGAATTTCTTCTTCGTTTATTTGAAATATTCATATATATTTTCCATAGAATTAAAATAAAGGAATGGATGTCTTTTTTAGACGTTTAATTTTCATAACATCGCCAGATTACAGTGAACTTCTTTTTCCACACATTGTATATGACACCGATGAATTTTATTATGACTTATTGCATCTTGCATACAAAACTAAATTGCTGAAATTATTATACTGTTCCGGAACATAACACAAGACGTCATAATTTTGTTAAATTCTTATATGGTACATACAACACACGAAACCAATGAATCATTCTTATATGGCGGACAAGGCAGAGAGCCGCAAACAGTTTTCACAGGATAAAATAACCTTCCATTCTCGTTTTGTCGAGATCTCTCAATGAAGTCAGGATCTTCGTCAACACAAAGGTATTCCAGTGTGGAATATGAATAATAATTAGACGTTAGTAGACCAGAATACTGCTTTGACCATCCAGTAGGACAAGATTGTTTGGCGGGAATCATCATCGAAGAAGTCGCCATTTTGGCATGGCAGACAGCGCAAGGCACATCATCATTTTTCACCATATTTCTCAAACTAAATTCATATTCACCGCCATAGATATGGCCGAAGCCGAGTGTTGTAAGGGGGTTAGATGAAAGTGGGAAATGATCCGGTAGCAATTCAGGATCATGTGGGAGACACAGTGTATTAGCACCATTACCCTTTTCTAAAAAATGGCTACCTCCTGCTGTTCCTGTCGATAATATTAACATTTCATCAGAACAAAACATAAAAGCTTTTGAAACAAATATGTTTAAACACAAACAAACAATAAGAGGCCCATGGGCCACATCGCTCACCTGAGTAGCTTTGACCATGCTGTTCTTTAACAACTTTCCCCCTTGTAATACATATTGTGACCCCACCCTACCACATGGGTCATAATTTGGACAATTTAAAATCTACACTACCCTAAGATGCTTCCACATAAGTTTCAGCTTTTCTTGCCTTGTGGTTCTTGAGCAGAAGATTTTTAAAGTTTTTTCCTATATATTTCTTTGTAAAATTTTGATTCCCTATTGTGGCCCCACCCTACCCCGGGGGTCGTGGTTTGAACACGTGGTTCGGCTCAGGTGAGCTAAAAATACATTAAAGTACATAATACCGGTATAATATGCATACATGTAAATTAACAAAACAGTCGTTCTAGAGCTCTAAAGCTTTCAGAATTTCAAGGTAAAATCAGATTTCAAATTATAAAATTTCTTGTAATTATTTTTAAACTTACCTTCATAGACCAATTCTGTCCCATTCAATTTCGGACAACTGTGCTTTCCCCATCTAGTATATATGGAACCTATAGGAGAAAATATTATATAATTGTAGATATTATTTGAGTAAATAAATTCAAATGAAACTCCTGCACAATTTATATTACTCTAAGTAAAATATGTACCGGACTTCTTGGAACTTGATTCCAGCAGTTCAAACCTTTGTTTTAGATCCGCCATTTCTTGCTTTTGGACTCTGAAATGTTCCACTTCTTGTTGCAGGGCGTGGATTTCAGACTGCATCTGTTGTGGATCATTGAGAAGAAGGCGTTTCTCTTCAGTTGACCCCGTTCCGAAGAAAAACCAAAATAATGACAGTGAAAAAACAGTGAACTTCATTCCGAATATCTGTATTCTGTCCACAAGAAAACGAGATAACACAATTATGGCCAAATCAAATATGTGTGAAAATGACATTTGCACCGAAATTACAAAAATATCTAAAGCACGATTAACCTGATTCTTATCCTACTCCTTTGCTGGAACATATGTATTTCCTGCTTGACTAAAAACTCTATAACCTGCTTTCAGATTTTGAATTTTTTTTTAATGAGATAAGATAGATTTTTTTACCCCTTATAATTTTGACTCTTAAGGATGTCTTTCTTTTCAGAAATTTTATCCTCAACAATATATATGACCTTTGAATGAGAGAAGATAATGCTTTATGTTTCTTACTTGCAATACCTGAGAGAGATCTTTTTAGCTGAATATTGCTGATCTTGACCTTTACCTGAAAGTTTGACCTTTCTAAAAATATTTTAAGCAAGATTGTAGCTAAAATGAGTGGACATTGCACATGCAACACAACCTACAATATTCTTACTCACAACAAAGAAAAAAATATTGTTTAAATGAACTGACAAGACAGCTTTATTCAAAATATTAGATAAAATATCATTTTGTAAATTTTGAATCAACTTGGTCGATATACATGTAATATAAGCATTTACTTCCACCAAATAAATTCAAATTTTATACAACATCAAACACGTAGGAAAAGAAAAAAAGATTGAAATATTTTTGTAATTTAACTGATATCACCTACAGTAAGAAAAACTTTTTTTCATTTTTCTTCCAAACTTCATCAACAAAAACACAGATAATAAAACACAAGTCTATGAGTTTCAAACCAGTACTCAATAGAATGCATTTAAAACTCTGTTCATCTTCAAAGGCATTCCTTTCTCTCTCTCTCTCTCTTAAAAATCCTAATCGAAATCAGAATGCCTGGACAGGGGATAGATGCAATGTCCCAGCAAGTTTTTCTCATGGATTACAGTAACTATATGGGATAAATCTAATGTACTTTAGCTCGGCCTCTTAGACTGGAATTAAAAATATCTTTGTTTCCCCTAACCCGACCCTGAATTCTCAAGGTGGGTCGGTAGGTAGGTCAACAATTTTATTTTATGACAGCAGCTTTGAAAATACATTCTAAAATTAAATAGAAAATACCTTTATAAATAAGAAAAGTACAAAAGAAAGCGATTTGTGAACAAAATGCTAGGTATCAACCATGTGCTGTTTAAAGGAAAATTCATGATTAATTATTAATTTACAACTATTATTTAGTTGAACTTGTGAGATATCTCATGCCAGGGTACATTTATATAGATCGAATAGATAAAGACAAGATTCTCAAATACGCAAAGACTGGACATCCGAGTATATTTTTTCAAACCTTCCATCAGCCCCCAGTGCTTATAGACAATCAATGTACTTTTTGAGGGCCATGGGATTTGCAGTGGTTCTAGAGCATTTTGCTTTGGAGTTAAGAAGGAAGTGTCGAATTTTAAGTCGCAGGTCCAAATACCAATGAGGAACGTTGAAAACAGTCCTTCAAAAGTGACCATAAAAACTTATGTCCAGTGTCGCAGAAGATGCTGGCTCAAAAAAGATCCCTTACTGCTTAATGGCTAAATTTGGAGCAATGGGGAAATGTTCAAATGTCGTCCAAACAAATCTCAAAGTGATTAAAAGCAAAGAAACAACCAATCTTCGAGGGCGTAATTAAAGAAAAATACACTGGGCGTCTCAGGAAGCTGAAGCATGATTTCAAAGCTATTTATAAAGAGTATTTAAACAATATTTAATTGAACCAAACCGAATCTACAAATGATAAAAATGCTACATGTATATACAATGTCATAGTCAAGAAGTTTAATATAACCCATAAATAAAGGCATTAAAGACAGAAAATCTGAATTATATTTATCAGGATGAATATGCAGACATATTCATAACAACTCCTATGGTTCCGTAATGGCATATAGTAAACATAGGAACATAGATGAACTGGTTATTAGATCAAAACTCAAATTAAATAAAATGCAGTGAAATTGAATGATGTGTTCACTAGGTGGGCCCCTCATCTGCTCATTAGGCGGGCCTTACCATATATTACGTACCTTAAATTCAACAGACAGGTTTGTTTGTTGTTTACCGTCCCTTTCAAAAATTTATTCACTCACATGGAGACGCCAAGACACCTCCAAAACACTCTTAATTAGTCATGGTAAATTTTATTATCAAATTGTTTCAAGAGTGAAGAATTCTAATTAGCTAAAGGCATAAGATTGAGACGTCGCCGTTGTTTTATTAAGAACTATTTCTCAGTAATCACATCTGGGCGCCATTTTTTTCAACAAATCACAGTAGAACAATGTCGGCCGTTCTGCTAAAAACTGATTTTGATGATATTGTATTTTATGAAACTTGGTTAACAATAAAAAAATATTTGAATCTTCTTATTTAAAAAATCTTTTCAGTCGGTGCGATTTAATTGGGTCGGTCGCGTTAGGGGAAACAAAGGTATTTTTTATTTTGGCCTTATCAAGAAAATATTGTCCACATACAGCATCCAAACCAATACTGATGATGTTCGTTAAGATCTGTTGCATCATTCCAGTAAATTTAGTCCAAACATCTTCTCTATATCATATGTGCACTTGATTAAGGACATTTATTAGAGGATTGAAAGAAAAATGACTGCAAAATCAGTTAAGCATAATACAAGCGCAAAATGGCGTTTATTTACTTACTTTCATATAAAAAGGGAATTGCAATTTACTCTGTCAACCAACTTTTATTTGCGACGACTTTATTTTGCGATTTACTGGAGTAAAACTAGTTTCCGACGATTAATTTTCGCGATCAAACCTTTTTTAAATCTGTTTTAAATAGAAACAGATACTTTGAGGACTGGTTCGCGGCGGGAAATATTTGCGATGATTAGGCTCTCGCGAACTTCGCGATAATTTCTAGCACGCGAATAAAAGTTGGTTTACAGTACATCATTCAATTCAAATCAACAAAACAAAAGTTTTTGCAGCGGTGGGATCCTCTGGGATTTTCCAAACCATGCATCACTATACATATGAAATGTTTCTTTTCCTAACTGAGAATTCACACCCAAAAAAGGTTAATCGTGTTTTATTTGATTTCTTTTCACTTCTACTGAGCATGTCAACAATATCATGTTTATAATATTTTTTAACAATAACCACAGGGGCTTGTGTAGAGAAAATAAAAAAAAGTTAGAAAATTAGTACCTCGGAGACAAAAAAAATCACGAGGTGATTTTTCTCTGAAGATCTAATTTTCTTATTTATTTTCTCTACACAAGCCCCTCTGCTATAACTTCAATACCCTCTGGTCTTCTTAATACATGTACTGGAATATTGCAGAGATACTATCTGGACTAGCTTCATTTGTGGTCATGTGGCAACCAATTCATTATTATCTTAAAGCTTTGCTGAATGTCAGAAAAGAGAGCTCTAGGCAGTGTCATGATCGTCTCCATACTGTCCCATACCCAGAATCATGAAGCCCATTGGTAACTTTGATACATGCATGGTGAAAAAGGTCTGCTTCATCTGGTTTTGTTTGTCTTTCCGAACAAAGAGCACTTGTTATCTCCACAGGCACTGGATGCTTCATCAATACTCCCGAAGTTTGACTGTTGGTCATTACATATGACACATGTCTCTCATCATCTTGCCAAATGTATGCATGAAATACGTGGCGATAATGAACAGTATTCGAGCTCAAAGTACATTCAATATTTCAAAATAGGAGCGAAGCAACGCGGACCTACAAAGCCTCAGAGGTAGGATTAGGTGCCCTGGAAGAATGAGCATCCCCTGCCGATCGAACACACCCGCCGTGTGCTCCTTGTCATAATTGAATTTTCCGACAAGGCCACCGTACCGACCATAGAGCCCATGAAACTATGAATGATGTCCATTTCCTAGGAAACTTGGGACATCTTTTAAGAATGGTTCTTAATAGAATGACGTGACTTGTTCTATTCCCGACAAAGCAATATTGAATACTCCAGATCTTTCTGTAGTCTCTGTAGCAGTCCTTTAATGGTTTAGCTAATCAAATATAGTTTTAATTGCAGCCTATGACCTTAAATAATCAATATAGCTTCTCCTGAGATTAAAGAAATATACCTAATACTTTGTTCAAAATATAGTAGAACATATCATCGTTATAAAAATTCTGCTACAGTGTAGTATTTTGTAAACAGGCACTTAATTCATACGGTAAAATAGTTTTCTACTAAACAATAACAATAACATATACCAGTGTGTTGTATAGTAGAAAACTAAACGTGCTAAGATATTGCAATACTATGCTGTCAATCAAAGAAGGGAATCAATAATTAACTGAAAAGCACGAAAAAAGCTTGGCAATTTTGGAGATGATAGCAGTTTGGGTGTTTTGTAAGGGTCGGAATTAACTTTTTTAACTTTAGATATTTCATTATATCGGGACAAATGTCATTTTCACACACATTTATGTGAATTTTTCCTCTCTAGTCTAATCTGATTTTCTTATCTAGAATACAGACAGAATGACCGCTATCTTTACATTTACACTATTAATATTATTTCAGATCTCTTTTGGAGAGGAATTGAACGAAGAGAAACGCCTCCTTCTTAGTGATCCACAACAGATTCAGTCTGAAATCCACGCCTTGCAACAAGAAGTGGAACATTTCAAAGTCTTGGCAGCAGAGTTCCAGGCCCAAAAACAAGAAAACCAAGCCCTCAAAGCAGAGGTGGCGGATCTTAAACAAACATTTGGACTACAAGAGGCGGATCTAAATCAAAGGTTTGGACTGCTGGAATCTAGCTCTCAGAAGTCTGGTACATATATTTTTCTTAATTTAGTGATACAATTTATAGCATTTATAACAGTTTCTTTAATCATAATCTCTTTTATATATTAAACGTCTTTTTTTAAAGGTTCAATATATATTAGATGGGGAAAACACAGTTGTCCGAAATTGAATGGAACGGAATTGGTCTATGAAGGTACGTCAAAAACCGCATTTGTTAATAATTCTAAGGAGCATAGTGTATCTAAGGCACCTACAGAACTACTGTTTTTTTTAAAATTATATCAACATGTCTTTCCTTTTATCATCTCTATTTTCTTTCTGTTATGTTTCTCGACGAAAAACAAGTTTAAACTGACCCTTTTTCGAAGGGTCTATTATAAAAGTATATTAATGTGATATATATATATTTTTAATTATAATTGCCATACAGGAACAGCAGGAGGTAGCTATTATACAGAGACTGGTAATGGTGCTAATACTTTATGTCTCCCACATGACCCTGAATTGCTACCGGATCATTTCACACTTAAAAGTGATGGTGGTCACTTCAGCCACATCTACGGCGGTGAATATCAGTTTAGCTTAGGCAAGGTCGTCGTGCAAGACGATGTTCCTTGTTCTGTCTGTCGAGTCAAAATGGCGACTTCATCGATGATGATTCCCGCCAAACGATCGTGTTCAATTGGATGGTCTAAGCAGTATTCTGGTCTTCTGACAGCCAATACTTATTATGCCAATAAAAACGAGTATCTCTGTGTAGATGAGGACCCAGACTTCATTGAGAGATCTCGACAAAATGAGAATGGTAGACTCTTTTATCCCGTGAAGACAATCTGTGGCACTCTACCGTGTCCACCATATAAGAATGCGACATTGGTGTCGTGCGTTCTTTGTACAATGTAATTATTATTAATTTCAGCTATAAATACATGTATGCACATTAATATATTTTAAAAAATGATGCGATGCATGAGCTGGATGCGCATTGTATGTGTAATAATTTCAGGAAAATAAACAAAAGAAAGCTTGTTCACCTTTTTTTCATTTTATTATAAAAATCAAAGAATGAAATACAGCATAAAATATTTTGCACGTAAGATATACGTGCTCTTTGTCGTATTCGGGAAATGGATGGAAAACTAGACAATTTGGTGTGAAAATAAAGCTTTGCAATTTGTATTAAAACGTTTATCAAGATGTGTTCTAATGATAGATTATATTTTCTGACAAGGTCATTGAATCCACAAGTCAAAATTTGCGAAATGATGACTATAACCGAGGCTATTGATTTCCTTGTTTCATCAACTTATTGGTCAAACGATTACTTTGTTTAAAAACTATTCACACGGAGACCTTGCGTGCCGAATCAATTAGGAAACAATAACACCATATGCAGGTGATGATGTGGTATATTGCTGCATAAATAAAATATTTTTCTGTGATATTTCCCCCAGTTTACACTGATGCATCAGATATACATAATTCCTATTATAAACGTATACCTATACTTATTTAATTAATGCATCTTTACTGATACATTTAAATGCGTTTTATCTCTAACTTCCGATATGAAACACCTTACCCTGCTGGTCCATGATTCCCTTAGATATTGTTGTCTTATAATACGTACGCAGAAATATGACATGTTCGGTAACAGAAATGCAAACTCAGAATCTCGTTATTAAAGTGTGACAATACCGTACTTAGAATAAAAGACCCAAAAAGGGACTTACTAAAAAAGAAACCAATCTAACGCCAAATTGCTCATACAAAATCTTTTTTTACTCCTCGACATATCAAGAAATATTCTGGATGTATGGGGGATTAAAAATACCCCGAAAAAATATACACTGTATTGCTGTTTAATCTTACCCAAATCCATTAGCAGTAAAATGAGGTAATTAATGGCCCCTCAACCTGATAGCTTGTTTGTAAATTCTTTTTTAAAAGTAATTTTCTGTTTAAAATTTTAAGATCTTTTATTTATGATCTTTTTTTTAAGAAGGCACCAATTAATGAAAATATGTCTTCCGCTCAATAATGGAACCTGCAAAATTAATTTTAGCATTTTGAAAGTAATTAGTAGAGTCAGTTATTAATAATTCTATTTAAGCATACATGATGTTACAACATTTCTTCTATCATGTGCAGTTTTCTCATATTGATGTTTCTCTTCGATACTTTACGATTTCAAATATTTAATCTTGAAAATTTCTTTTGATACAAAGACGGCACAATTTGTTATCCCTATTAAATCAATTTGATGTTTGAGATATAAAAGTCAATGTTCCTTTATTTTCTTGAAAAAGCAAAATGCCTTTAAACAATTGTGAACGCTTATGTTCATTTTGTCAAATTAATACCCAAACTCATCACTTGTACAATGATGCACAAAAATGACTTTTCCTTTCAAGGGGATGTGCAATGTGGTGAAAATAAACATATATAAAAGGAATTATCCAAACCAAGGGAACAAAATATGATGAGTTTTATACTAAAGTATGTGTTGATGAAAATTCCTAAACAAGTTTTGAGATCTGTGAGGAAGACAATTCAAAACTTATTGTCAAGGTTGAGTTTGTGTTCATGAAAATTCCTGTACAAGTTTTGAGATCTGTGAGGAAGACAATTCAAAACGTATTGTCAAGGTTGAATAATTTTATTAAACGAAAGCCAAATTCCCAGGACAAAAGTCCAACTTTGTGAGACCCAAATAAAGTTTTTGTCACAAGAAATACATTTGTGAATTACATGTATTAAAACCCTAGCACAAATCATTCAAAAGTAAAGTCAAAGGCTTGATTTTTTTCAAAGTAGACCGATCTCCATGGTCAAAGGGTCAAAATTGTTTGTATCCAAAGTAATATATTGTCACTAATAATACTAATGAAATATGGAGGCCCTGGCTCCAACCTTCTAAAAGGTATGGTTTATCAAATTTGAAAAAGAGCCAAACTCTAGTCAAGTTGAATAGGTACAAATATTGAAACCAAATAGAAGGTCTTGCTTTATATATTCCACTTGTAATGAAAACCATATCTTGAACAGTAAAAGAAATAAGATCAAGGTTAAAGTTTGGAAATATTTTGCAAAAGTCGTACATTCTCCAGGGTCAACTAAAGAGGTCAAATATGTTGGGACACAATGAAAGGTCTAGTCATAAGTAATACACTTGTGAAAGCCATAGCTTCAAGCACTTAAAAGCTATGAGCAATGTTAATATTTTTGCGAACATTCTAAAAGACTAACAGACAGCTACACAGACAGACGGACGAACTGTCAAAAACATTATAATGCCCCTTTGATTACGGGAGCACAAAAATATAACAAACGTATATTATGATTTTGTACAAAAACAGTCTAGATAAAATCAATGAAATTGAAAGAAATCATACGTGTACATGTATTCATATTTTACACAAATAATTTTTAAGAAGTTAATCATACCATTAAATACAAGGGTTAATTAAGGAACCAAAGGCAAAATGTAAATAACTTATATGTACATAGCAACTTATATCAGAAATACTTTTTGATTGATTGATTGTATACTGTTTAACGTCCCTCTCCAGAATATTTCACTGATATGGAGACGTCACCATTGCCGGTGAAGGGCTGCAAATTTAGACCTATGCTCGGCACTTACGGCCTTTGAGCAGGGAGGGATCTTTATCGTGCCACACCTGCTGTGACACGGGGCCTCGGTTTATACGGTCTCATCCGAAGGACCGCCCCATTTAGTCGCCTTTTACGACAAGCAAGGGGGTACTGAGGACCTATTCTAACCCGGATCCCCACGGGAAGAAATACTTTTTGAAATAAGTGGTTAAAGATAATTGATACTAAGAATTTCTGTATTAAAAAATAGATTAAATATAGGGGGATAACAAACAGTTTTCATACTCAAGAGTCCATTAAACAACACAAATCAGGAGAAGAGCAAACAGGGACATCTAAAACATCAGAGGTGGGATTAAGTGCCATGGATTAGTGAGCATCCCCTGCCGATATATTTATACATGTATCAAAATACATGTATAAATGTATCGGCAGGATATGAACGTAATTTATCACATGTACTTTGATCAAAGTATAGATTATGACATTGTTATATATTGTTTGCTTAAGCTAGATGTCATCCAGGAAGTACATTGTGGTATCTCACATTGATGTACTTGATTCGTACCGTGACATTCCTTTCTATACTAAATAATAACACAAGTTGTATACTATAAACTAAGCGTACTGATGTGTAATAATGCTGTATTGTCAATCAAATAATGAAATCAAATATTAACTGAAAATCACAAAAAATCTTTACTTATGTTAAAAGAACCAAACGTTCAAAATAAATCGAATCCAGTTTAAAACTGTAGGATTGGCAAATGATAGCAGTATACATGTAGGTGTGTTGCAAGGCTCAGACTCAAATTGTTTAACTTAAAGATATTTCGTTATGTATCTGGGCAAATGTCATTTTCACACACGTTTATAAATGCATAGCAGTGTCCTTTCTATCCTTATCTTATTTTATTGTGAATAAGAAAGACAGAATGAAGTTCACTATTTTTACCTTCACATTATTTTTATTTCATATTTCTTTTGAAGAGGAATTGAATGAAGAGAAGCGCCTTCTTCTTAGTGATCCACAACAGATTCAGTCCGAAATCCACGCCTTGCAACAAGAAGTGGAACATTTCAGAGTCTTGGCAGCAGAGTTCCAGGCCCAAAAACAAGAAAACCAAGCCCTCAAAGCAGAAGTGGCGGATCTTAAACAAAGATTTAAACTGCTGGAATCCAGTTCTAAGAAGACTGGTACGTGTTTTAATAAAATTAAGTTATTTTCAATGATGTCAATTAAACAGATGAAGAAGCATTTTATTGGAATCTCTTTTGCAATTTTGTCAATTTGATCTCTTTCTAAAGGCTCCCTATATACCAGATGGGGGAAACACAGTTGTCCAAAATTGAATGGAACAGAACTGGTATATGAAGGTAAGGCAAAATTTATATATTAGTACATATTTCTAAGGTAGGTGCTAGATTAAAACATCTGTGTTTATAAATGTCATTGTAGAATCAGAGTAACCCAACTAAAGAAAGTGTATTATTTAGTGTATTGAATTCGTCTGTTATTTTGACCATATTTTCTAAACGACACAATATTGAAGCTGATATTTTCAAAGAGTCGGTTTTGATTAAAGAATCGTTATGACAATTGATAGGAACAGCAGGGGGCAGTTACTTTACAGAAAAGGGCAATGGTGCAAATACCCTGTGTCTCCCACATGATCCCGAATTGGTACCAGATCATATCGCACTTACTCCGATTGGATTCAGTCATATTTACGGTGGGGAATATCAGTTTAGTTTGGGAAAGGTTGTGATACAGGATGATGTACCCTGCTCGGTCTGTCGTGTTAAAATGGCGACTTCTTCGATGATGATTCCCGCCAAGCGATCTTGTCCGACTGGGTGGACCAAGCAGTATTCTGGTATACTGACAGCCGATGCTTATTATCATGAAATAACCGAATATCTATGTGTTGACGAAGATCCTGACTTTATTGAGAGATCTCGAGGAAATGATGAAGGGAGACTCTTTTACACTGTGAAAACTGTTTGCGGCTCTCTACCGTGTCCACCGTATCAGAATGCAACAGTGGTGTCATGCGTTGTATGTACAATGTAATCATATATACCCGGTAATTCATTTCAGGAATAGACTAACGTGTACACATTATTATAATTTCAACAATTGTGCCATACATGAGCTGAGTGCGCACTTTAATAATTTTAGGAAAATAAACAATAGAAATCTTGTTAAATCCACGTTAGTCTTCTCTTCCCTCTGATAATTAAAAGAATTAACAGAAAGTATAGAGTAAAATACTTGCATGCAGGATATACATGCATCCCAGTCGTAGAGTTACACCTGCTGTGCACGCCTGGTTATGATCAGGAAACGGTAAAAATATAGACAAGTCGGTGTGGAAATAAGGCATACCAATTTTTCCAAAAGAAGAAGCCAATCAAAATGCGTCACAATGATATAATATATTGCTAATTTAAAAGGTCATTGTTATAAAAATTTTATGACTGAACAAGACTATTGTTTCTTCAACTTAAACTAAAAGATTGTCTTGTTTTAATTTTTTTTTTTTACAAACGTAGAGCATACACTTGCGTATCGAATCAACTTGGAGATATAGACTCCATATGCAGGTGATAATGGTCCATTGACCTTTGACCTTGACCTAAGAATTTGACCTACCTTTAAAAAAACTTTAATCTTACCTTAACGGTAAGGTTTAGGGCTTTCATACTTCATATGCTTAATCATCATGACATGACCTTTCCTAGAATACCAACAACTTTGACCCATTGACCTTGACGTTTGGCCTTCTTTAAAAAAAAACAAAGTTTAACCTTGGCCATAGCATTTGAACGGTTAAAGCTAGGGCTTTCATACTTCAAATATGTAATCCCTGTGACAAGACCTTTCTTTAGAAACCAACAACTATGACCCTTTGACCTTGACCTTAGAGTTTGACCTAGTTTTAAAAACTTTAACCTTGGCCATAACTGTTGATTAGGTGGTGCTAGGGCTTTCAACATATTTTATTTGCATTTGGAAAAGTTTAAACTTCGCTGTGTTGCCGTACGGGGGGCATCAGTGTTTCACAAATACTATAACATTTTGTTTTCTTTTCTTATATTTATTTGTAATGTTTCCCCCAGTGTTCACTGATGTCCTAAAAATAGCAGCATTAACAAGATGTGTTCATGAAACACTAACCCGTCTGACAACATAGTGAGGGTTAAACTTTTTCAAATGCAAATAAATTATCTTAAGACCCAAATTAAGGCCTCATAAGAACTAGATGCTGTCATGAGACAGTAATACCCGTACTAAGGTGTTTGCCTCTAAATGCACACTCCTTTAAATTGGGCTTTACCAAGAAAAAAGTCAATATAATTCGA